CAAAATATTTAAGGTAGGAATTACTTTGTTTTATTTACTCATAACTACCAGAATACAAAAGAACCACTAAAAACAAACCAATGTCTTTTATCATTTTCTTTGTTTGTTTTTTGTAATCTTGAAACAAATTCTTTTTAACTTAGTTTAAAAAAAAAAAACTTGCTATGCTAAAACCTCACAGGCCATGTTTAGTCCCACAAAAAATGTTAATGGCTCTGTAAAATTTACCCAAAATTTACATGTTCACTTAAAAATGGATGAAGGCTAAATTAGTGGTTCAAAAAGCACCACTGTGATAAATAACAGAAAATGCATTTGGTTGCCCTGCCCAATATAGTCTCACTCAAGACAAGAAATGCTAAGAGCAGAGTGGGCTTGGATCAGAGAGTTAAAAGGAGAAACAGGAAGCCAGGGCTCCAGATTTTCCCACAATTCTCAGCACAGTCTACTGGCTTCTCCTGTCCCTTCATAGTAGTAGAAATGTGACATGGTTTTCCTTTTTCTGAAGCATGATAAAAGTCCCAGCTCTGTAACAAAGGAATCCAGGCTCTAAGGTTGTCAGTTTGATTGTCTTCATTCTACTATCTATAATCATATTGCAGATAATAATAACTTACACGATATTTTGAAATAATCGCCTAATTATAAATTATATGAAATAAAAACTATTATTTTATGAAAGCTTTATTTTAAAGGTGCTGGAGAGATAGCTTGACCGGTTCCCAGCATCCATGTGTGGTACAGTCCACAACTGCCTACAGTCCCAGCTCCAGGAAATTTAACCTTTCTTCTGGCCTCTATGGGTGCATGCGCATGCGCACGCACACACACACACACATATATACACACACACACACACGTTGTTTTATTTGTTTTACTTTTTTATGTTTGTTTGTTTTTGTTGTTTTTTCCCAGACAAGGTTTCTGTGTAGCTTTCATGCCTGTCCTAGAACTAGTTCTTGTAGACCAGGCTTGCCTTGAACTCACAGAGATTCACCTGCTTCTGCTTCCCGAGTGCTGGGATTAAAGGCGTGCACCACCACTGCCCGGCTTACATTTTTATATCTTTATTTTCAACTAAAAAAAAGTAGAAAACATAAGTGAAATAAAATCAGCTTTGTTTTCAACAACCCTGAAAGACTGCACCCCACAACACAGGTAAAGAAGAGGTGAAAGGGACATCAGGTTCAAAATTGAACCTTTAGCCACATGTGCCCTGTCTTAGCCACTGTTCTGAAGAGACACTGTGACCAAGGCTGCTATTATAAAATAAAGCATTTAGCTGGGGCCTTGCTTACAGTTTCAGAGGTTCAATCCATTATTGCCATGGTGGGGAACATAGTGACAGGCATGATGTTGGAGCAGTAGATGAGACCTACATCCTGATCTCCAGGCAGGGAGAGAGAGAGAGAGAGAGAGAGAGAGAGAGAGAGAGAGAGAGAGAGGAGGAGAGGAGGGGAGCGGGGGGGGGGGGGGGGGGGGGAGGGGGGGGGGGGGGGGGGGGGGGGGGAGGGAAGGAAGGAAGGAAGAAAGAAAGAAAGAAAGAAAGAAAGAAAGAAAGAAAGAAAGAAAGAAAGAAAGAAAGAAAGAAAGAAAGGCAGAGAGACTGGGCCTGCTTTGGGCTTTTGAAATGTCAAAGCCCACCCCCAGTTACACACTTCCTTCAACAAAGGCCCACCTCCTTATCCTTTGAATTCTTTTAAAAAGTGCCAGTCCATGCTAACCAAGCATTCAAATATATGAATCTATGGGGGACATTCTCATGCCAAACACCACAGGTACCACGCCCAAGCTTAGGAAGGGCACAGTATGATGGTTACTTTTCTGCTGCTGCAATAATATATGATGATACCGGTGACTTCTGCAACTTACAAAAGGGTTTATTTGAGTTTATGGTTCCAGAAGAAAGGATAGTGGGATGCTTGGCAGACTTGAGGATGGGTGAAGGAAGCAGGGAGCTCACATTCTCAAAAGAGAAGCAGAAAAAGCCCATTAGAAGCAGCAGGTGAGTATTAACTCTGAAAGCCCACCCCTGGTAACTTCCTTCCCCCAGAAAAGCCAACCAACCATCCCCAAATAGCACAACCAACTGGAAGCCAATCGTTCAAATATGGGAGATTCTAGGGAACATGCTCAACCAGCCTGCTATAGGCAGAGACATCGTTTGCATGGTTAAGAGGTCTACTTTGGCTGTTGTTCAGATAATGGTTTGTGGTGACTAGGAAACTGCCCAGGAGAGTCCAGGAGAGGATCTGGACTGGGGTGTGTTTGTGACACACTCAGCCCAGGTTCTTGCAGACAGCAAGCCTTGATCAAAGTTAATCAAAATAAGTTCTTATTTATGTGTTCAAAAATTTGACTCATGGCTTGCCATCATGTTAAATACAGATACAACAGGATATTTGAGGATACTGATATATTCAAGTATATCTCTTTCTCTCATTGCCCTAAAACTCTCCAATCCAACATTTTGTTAGCACAGGGGGAAAAGTGATAGAGCAGAAGCAGCTGCTGACATTTGGGGCAAGAATTCTTCAGCTTCCAAATGCTGCCCTTCGGCTTTCCCTTGAGCCTCCTATAATCACCACAGCCCACCCCTTCCCCATAACGACTAGCCAGCACATTCTCTTGATGAAAGTGCAGCATGTCCTGCCTTCAGGATTTTAGTCCCTCTGTTTTCTCAAGCTCCCCAGTTCATCCTCCCGGGTCTGTCCTCCCACACATCACTTCTCTCCCGTATCTTCAACAGAATTTTAGTCTCTTCAGCCCTTCACAATGCCTTTGTCCTCTGCCTTTCCCATTTGAGAAGAAGTGTCAATTCTCCTCTCCCCTCTTTGGAGCTTTCTGGTGTGTGAGAATTTGCATTATGTTTTTATAGTGTTTTCTGCCTCTTTACACTTCCTGTTTCTTCACCCTCCTACAGAGGGAACTTTTGCTGTCCATAGGAGCGCTTTTCCTAAAGGCCATTGAGAACAAGTTTGCTCTGCCAGGAAATGAACACTAAGGCCTTTGACTCAAAACCTTCTTGCAGGCCTTGAATCCAACCTCTTGAACAAGCTTATATTTGAGAAATGCTTTTTTTCCTCTGATTCCAGAAAAGTGTTTTCTTCATTTTCTCCAGAAAATTGATATTAGTCTTAGAGACTGATTTGGGACCCATGTTATGTATACTACTAGACAAGGATTTAAAGTGAAAGGAGGTTTTAGCTGAATTCCTGAAATGATTGCAAACTGATGGAAAATTTGGAGAAAAAAGGCAGAACTAGTTCATAGCTTGTCACTCACATTGAAAAAATTTATGTGTCTCTGTATATGTATGTCTGTGGCATTTACACATCCGTGTGTCTGTGTGTTATACATGCCTGTTTATGTGTGGTGTTTATGCTCATGTGTGAGTGAGTGCATGTAAAAAAGTGTGTTGTGTGTATTGAGTGGGGTATGGAATGTGTGTGTGTGTGTGTAAATGTGGGTATGGTGTTCATATCTATGTGTTCTGGTTAGTTTTATATCTGGTTGTTTATAACAACAACACAAGCAAGAGTCATTTGGCAAGAGGGACTCTCAACTGAAAATACACCTCCGAAAATCTGCCTAAGGACAAATCTGTAGTACCTTTTCTTGATTGATGATTGATCTGGATGGGTCCAGTTTGTGGGGAGGGGCATACCTGAGCAGATGCTCCTGAATGATGTAAGTAAGAAACTTTGTCTAAGAAAATAGGTCCAAGAGGTACTTCTTGGAATTCCACCACCACACTTACAGGTAGGGAATCAATCAGGTGACCTTCACTCTTCCTCTTGTCCTCTAGTCTCAGTGCTCCAGGGTTAGCCCCAGCTGTGTGGCAGATCGCTACTGTGGCCTCCTCTTGCTTTCTGCTCCAATCCCCAGGGGTCTTGAAACCTCCTGGCATTCATAGCTTTCATCCCTTGTATAGACCCTCTCAGTCCTTTTGACTTCTAACCCATCCCCAATTCCTTAGTCTAAACTTCTGATTCCTAGAAGCAAGTTCTACCCAGGATCCCCAGTGGCCACAACTGGCAGGATCTAAAAGTACTCCACACTGGGCACCCATGGCTACCACGCTCTGCTAAGAATCATAGAGGGCAATAGAAACCAAGGAACGGAACCCCCATCCAACAAAGATAAGAACGTTATCAGCATCTAGAGCTAAAATCAGCCCAAACCTAGATACCTAGATGATAGCATGAAAACCCTACAGTTAGGGAAGCACACGGGACATGGTGAACTGAAAAGTATGACACCATTGTCATGGTAAGACGTGAACTAAACGGGGGAAACTCATTGGAATCATCCTTCACACCAACCTCAGTAGGAACAAAGGTTGTATACGGGTCCTCAAGACCAGGTGGGGGTCGTGCATCATGAAAAACAGCTGTGGAATTGACTTGGGTCCTGTGTATGAGGGTCGGGTATGTGCACTGGTCTAAAGGGGTCCAGAGATTCTCAGGGTCAGAGGAGAGTAGGTCCCTCAAGAGAAACTGGTACCTCATACAAGGAAGAAACAGGTGAGAGGCACAAGAAACACCACAAATCACCCAAAAGGAACTAGTAGCTTTCAAAAAAAAAAAAAAAAACAACAACAACAACAGATATGGCTCCTTTCAGAAGCCAAGAAATCAGCTAAAAATCATCCTAGCCCAATAAGAAATGTTGCATTTCCATTTTATTTGTTCCTTTCTCACTCCAAAGCCTTTCCCTAGAGTGTCACTGCAAGCGTTCCACAAAGTGCTAATGAGAAACACAGGCCTCATTCACACCACGTACACCACAGAAAACTGACTCAGGGAAGGGACCTGAGTCAGAAACTCTGATCAGTGTAAGACACTCTAACTTCTGATTTAGAAAATGTTTTCAATCTACAACACAGAGAGAGAGAGAGAGAGAGAGAGAGAGAGAGAGAGAGAGAGAGAGAGAGATACAACACCAATAAGAGCTTTCTTAAAATCCTATAATCACTCCGAGCAGATTTTAAAGGGATACTGGGAGAGGCTATGCTTTGCCAGACCCTTCAAATTTAACTGCTCCTGTAATGATATGAAGAGCTGGGATTTTATATTACGAGGCACATTATTTTATATTGTTCTGATAGAAGAGGAGCCCAATGACGCTGTGCTGGGTTTAAATTCTGCAGGTTCTGTTATCCAGCACTTTCGTGGCTTCTAGGTCTTGTACACATGCCACAGTTTTTCAGACTTTCATTGAAAAATAATAATGAGCATTTGGAAATTGCCAGGAGCAGTTTCTCCTCTCTCCTCTCTCTTTCTCTTTCTTGAACTGTCTCTTGATTATCTTTCCCTTTGCTTCTTTATATGTTGTTCTTTATCAGAGTTAGAAGGTGATTGCTTTTCTAGACAACAATACATGTTTAAAGTAAATAACATCAATAATAAGTGTAAAGAAAGCAATGATTTAGAATGCACACTGAAATGGGGATGGCAAGAGGCCATTTTGGATTTCCTCTTGATTTATTTCTGTCAAGTATATATTGCATAGAAAATTAGCATTTTTTAAAGATAAATCTCTATAAGTATTTTTTTCTTTTACTGACCTTTATACTTTAAAAAATTCCTTCATTATAACTTCTTCAGTTCGAGTAATATTTAAGAGAGGAAAGACAAGACAATGAACAGCTTAGGTTAAATCCAGAAGGCAATTGGAGTCTACCCATGGCACATACCCTTCTTAGTACTGAAGCTCAGAAAGTGTAAGTGTGTTCTGTTTGTTGTGTGATAATGACAGCTTTAATGACAAAGGTATATGCAAATAAAGTTGGAGATAAGAGGATCTTTTCTGATGTTTTATCAGGTCTAAATTTTTAATTACTTAGTTTTTTTTTAAGCTATAAAACTGATTGGCCCATTACCTCAGGCTTCTTATTAACTCTTATAACTTAGATTAGCCCATTATTCTAGTGTATGTTAGCCACATGGCTCGGTACTTTTTTTCAGCGGGGCAGGTCACATCTTCCTTCTTTGGTGTCTGGGCAGTTAGTTTTTCTAAGAGAGAGAGAGAGAGAGAGAGAGAGAGAGAGTTCCTGTCATTGCTGCAATGAAATTCCTCAGATTGACTGACAGTGACTGAAAGGAATTGATTTGGCTGCATGGGTTCAGAGATATAAGGGCACAGTGCCAACATGTGACAGTACAAGACCTTCCTTCCATCTAGTCTACTGCCATTGTGTACACACACAAGAGAGAGATATGCCAAATGTCACCTGGAGATCACGACTTTGAGGTAGAGATGAAGCAAGGTATAATCACAGTGTTTAAAAAAAAACTATTCATGAAAATGTTTAATAATGCTTTTGCATTTAATGAGCAAAACACTAAAGCACGCTGAAACATCTTTGAGTCAAGTATATTCAAGAGACAACCTGCCCACCCTGCTGACAGCATCAGAAATAATTCTAATTGCTTAAATGAGTACACTTTTTTAAAAAATCCCCTTGGACATCTCCAAAGGGATATTCACAAGCCTACTTTATCTGGGCCATCTTTAGAATTGTTTATTCTGATAATGATACATTGTGTCATCTCATCCACTTTTAAAATTCAGGTAGTACATTCTGCATAGTGCTAAGCAAGAAGCTGTAATTCTATTTTCAAAAATTGCAAAATAACAAACTTCACAGTAGTGACCAGCATTCCTTTCTTCTAGTACACTATAAGCTTCAGTTTGACCTGACTTTCAAATTTTTCTTAATAAAAGTTATAAAATGTTTGGTCATGTTTCTTACCTCTCTGTGTCTCTCTCCCTGCCCCCTTTGCAGGACTTGTTTTGTTTGTGGGTGCTGTTTCTACCTCCTCAAAGCCACTGCTTCTTTTAAAGTTTACCCTGAGAAAGTCCTCTGTTTTAGAAGCCAAAAACTAGTCTTGAAGAGATAATTACACACAGAATGTGAAAAATCTTCTCTCTAGCATAAGGATGTCATACCTGTAAATCTTGCTATTCTCTGTTCTTTTTATTGAGACTGAAGAAGCGTGTTACAACATTTTCTCCCTTTTCTCTGAAGTTCTGCCAGTGAGGAGAAAAAGACCAATATGTAGAAATTCCTTGAAAAATAAATCCTATACTTAAAAGCTGACAAATATAAGTTTTAGAACTTTAAAGCAATATAAGCTAAAACACTATACTAAGACTAATAAAAAGCATTAGTAGGAAGCTGAATGTAGTGGCTTGCCCTTGTAATCCCAGTCTCTCAGGATACTGAAGCACAGGTTCATAAATCCCAGGCTAGCCTGGGCTACACAACATGATCCTGCCAAAAACAAAGTTGATATGAATAGAGTTATTCAAAAATAATTTGAAATCTTCAAAAAGTCTCATTAATTATGATAAAAGAATAAGAAAACTATTAGTACTGGGATAGAATCTGTAAAAGTTGTAGATCTGCCAATTCTTATAATGATCTAAGTAATGTCAGTCACATATCTAATGTGCCTCTCTGTCCTACAACTATACAAATTATTTGTGTGTGTATGTGTATGTGTGTGTGTGTGTGTGTGTGTGTGTGTGTGTGTGTGGACTATGTCGTGAGTTCCAGGCCAGCCTTAGCTACTGAGTAAGATCCCCCTCTCAATCCAAACAAAAAACTGTCTATGGGAATGTAATCTCTTCATATTATAGGGGTTTGTTGTTATTTGGGGTAAGGGGTTGAGGGGTTTTCAGGAAAGGCTACTGTAGCTGAAGCTATCTTCAAACTCCTGATCTTCCTGCTTCCACCTCCCAAAGGCAAACCAATTTCCCCAACATTCTACTTCCATACACGCGCACCCCACAGCAACTTACTTAGTTTTCTCGGAAGAATGTTTTCCAGTTTGTTCCTCATTGACTTTTAAGACCTGAAGAATCTGTCCAGCTTCAGGAGAGACCTGGAGTTGCATTTCAGATAACAAGGAACTTTAACTACTTGAAGTCAGGGGACTAGGAAGGGAAATCTGTCACCTGCAGAACACAGGAAAGTTCTCATGTAGGCTTAGAGGATAAGGGCTCTTTGAACTTAGAGGGGAAAGGTCTCTGAGCTTAGATTACTTGAAGGTACTTGATGCGGTAAAAGATGTGGCATGTCCTCTACAGAGCAACACTGACAGTGGCTTGGAGCACCTTAGGATGTGCAGGCTGTGCGCTGCCCTGCAGGGTTCCTGGGATTACTTTTATAGTGGTGATTTAGTATTGCTAGAGAAAAGTCCTCCTGACTTCTGCTCTAAGGTTAGGAATCTGTCAACTGGCACTTTGGGGATGGATATGTCTAGGGGTTATTTAACTCACAGTTAAGTATAGGAGAGGTTGGGGATGGGAAGATGAGATGAGACAAGGACTGAAGAGGAAGAAAAGACATTTTTACATTTGTGTAGTAAGATTAGGGTTCTAAAAATTTAATACAAACATTCTATTTTTTTTAATGAGGAAGATTTTGGTGTACACCTGTAATCCCCTCTCCAGGAGTGATGGCAGGAAGGTAGGGAATTTGAGGATAAGTCTAAGCATATAGAAATAGTCTGTCTCAAACACAACAAACAGGAATTTGAAATAATACCCCAAACAAAGAATTCAGTGTGAATTAGAATAGTAAGCCAAGGAACTTCCTGAGAAGATAGAATTAACATACCCAAAACAATGATTAAAAGAAAATATCCAGGACAACCAGGGCTACACAGAGAAACCTGTCTGGGGTGTGGGGGTAAAAGAATGAAAGAGAGAAAGAGAGAAAGAAAGGAAGGAAGGAAGGAAGGAAGGAAGGAAGGAAGGAAGGAAGGAAGGAAGGAAGGAAAAAAGAAAATTAGACAGGCATAATGGTACATGCCTTTAAACCCTCTGTTCCACAGGTACTGAGGAGTCTCAGTTTGAGGCCAGTCTTATCTACAGAGCAAGTACAAGACCGACAAGTGGGATTTAAACAGTGGATTTTATATAACATCTTTTTAAAAAGTTTGAAAAGAGGTTCCCAACACCTCCAAAATTAAAAAATAAGATTCCATAGTCCCATAACGACACTGGGAGTGGCCTGGCTGCAACTTTTACCACAAGAATATCAAGACCATGCCTTCACATGCCTTCAGTATGCTTAGTGAAAATGATTTTAACTTTCACTACTGCATTCTGCCAATAGTATTCATGCTAGGCACTCAGTCAACTGAGCTAGGAGGACTACTTTAGTGAGTTAGAGGCCAGCCTGGACTACAAACAACAAAAAACAAATGCAAGGTGAAATACATTTTTTAAAGATTTAAAGATATAAAGCCATCACTTTCTTTTGGATTTTATCAGAAAACTATTAAAGAAAATTCTCAACTAAAGTTTAAGATTAAACCATTTACTCAAGATGGAATAAAACAAAACAAACAAAGAAAGAAAAAACAAGTCTTGGTAAATTGAGCTCAAATGCAAGAAATTCCAAATATGGGCTAAACCTAGAGATGTTGGTCAAAACTGGAGAGTGGTCTTTGTATTATTATTATTATTATTACTATCATTTTCATTATCATCATCATCACAATCATCGTCATCTTTAAGATATTTTCATTTTAAGATATTTTGGCAGATTTAAATTTTCAAAAATCTGTCTAGAAACATCTTACAAGGCTAGGTAAAAATAAATCAAGTAAATGATAAAAGAATGAAACAATTCAAGAAAACTACTTTCGAATTTTTAAAAGAGGAGCTGGCAGGAGAACCTAAGGGTCAAGCCCATTTGAAGACCTGAGCCCAAGCCCCACATGGCAGAAGGAAAGAAAGAACTGATTAGTATAAGCTGCCTATACAGGAGTACACACACACACACACAGGCACACATTCACGCATGCACACACAGAGTGAGAGATTAAAGTAACAAAAGGTAATGCTTCTAAAGATAAAAGCCTTTAGATGTATTTAACGCGGTTTGACCATATATAGAGAAAGGAGAAAATAGCCCATGGGCGATTACCTTTTTCCCATCAACCAGTCAGTCATCTCTCTATGAGTCACAACGGCTGCGTAAAAAACAAATCTTCCGGATCTCCAATCCCAAAACTAGTGAAAATCTGCACTATTTAGAAAGCGCCATCTGCTACGTGTTGACCGAATTCATGGGATATTTCTACAGGAAACGGACACGGAATGAGACGGAAACAAATCCACTTCCTCTCCGGAATCATCGCTTGTTTTGTGAGAATATATTTATAAAGGATGAGTAGGTCACAAAAACCATTAAGGCACAATTTTGGCTGTTTATTGCTTTGTTGTGTGTGTGTGTTGGGCACAAATTGGGCGTGTCAGGGCCTGTGAGGTTAGACGACAACTTGTAGGCTTTAGTTCGCGCCTCCTACCATGTGAGTTCCCGGAATTGAGCTCAGGTCAACAGACTTGGTGGCCATCTTAGTTTAGAGCTAAATACCCCAACTATTTCCTTTATTGAAGATGGCCCTCCAGCCAGCAGAAGCCTTGATCTACCTGATGGACAACAGTCTAAATGTTTGCAAGCATCAATTTCCAGCTCATTTTACCTACTCTCACATTTGAACATTAACAAAGGTCAGGAGCTATAGCAAAGCAGTTTCATCTCTGTAGCCTTGTGAGATGGGCATTGTACTGAAGGTTGAACTTAAACCGCTCATGCAGCTCCCTCTGTCACAAAAATGGCCTCAAACTCCTCAGGGAATTTCCACAGCTTGGGAGAGGGTAAAGGCTTTGAGGGAGTAGGGGTGTGGGGGCTGCTTTGTTTTTTTTTAGTAAGCACTTAATGTTGTAAGATCTCCAGATATCTGTTGACTAATCTGGATCTTTAATGTCAACAGAGATTAAATGTTCCTTTTACTGAGAATTGTAAAATCCATTTGATACATTTAGTCTGTTTATGTTCTTCCACACCAACACAATCAAACCTAAAGAAATGGGGCTGCGGCTGAAGGGATTTTCAGAGGGATTTTGTTTGTTTTGCTCTTTTATATTACATTTTACTTAGAGGGGTGGGGGACAGAGAACAGTTTTGGGAATTGATTCTCTCCTTTCACCGTGTAGGGAGGGTCCCAGAGATCAAACTCAGGTCCTCAGATTTGGCTGCAAGCTCCCAGACCCACCTAGCCATCAGATTCAGAGCTAAACGTCTAGACCTGAAGTATCTGGAAGAATGGATAGTAACATTTGCACCCCACAGTGAAGAGTACCAAAAGCTAAAGTGGCTTCAGCGGTGAGCAGAGAAGCCTGTCTGTGGGTGGCTGGTGTGTTAAGAAAACAAGCAGAGCAGGTTTGGGCTGTAGAATTCGTTTGTCCACTGCAAAGATGCTGCAACTTTTCTATTTGAAAGTATTCGTATTAACAACCAGGGGAAAGTAAAGCATTTGGACCGTACTGCACCACAGTAATATAACAAGAGCCGCCAATTCTAATCTCATACCTTGTTTCCAACTTTCCCTAAAACTGTAAGCAGGAGCCAGGGAAGGTGGCTCAGGCCTGTAAGTTGAGCACTTGAGAGGCAACAACATGGCTGTGCTCCAGGATAGCATTGGCTATGTAGTAAGCTTTAGGTCAATCTGGACAAGGTGTAAGACATAGTTTCCAGCCACCATTGAGGACACGGTGGGAGAGAGAGAAAGTAGTATATTTTGACAAAACGTACTTAAATATTTTTAAAATGTAATCATAAAAGATTGGTGTGCAATATTTTCTTTTCATGATCAGTCTTCAAAACAGAACAAATGTGTGTTTTCATTTACTGAAATGAGCCATAATGTGTGTGTGTGTGTGTGTGTGTGTATGTGTGTGTGTACCCATCGCTTCTTCACTGGTAATGAATAGTCCAATATAAACACTAGTTATTCCAGCAAAAATTAATTTTAAGCACCTGTGTCAAGCCAATACAGTATAAAAGGAGATAACGGTTTAGTGGGAGAATTGTAGTGTAACAGATTGGAATCTAGTTTACAGTAAGTCTCTTGGCCAAAGAATTACATTAGAACTGCCCCCAAAAATATATGTTCTAATAAGACTCTCATACTTAGAAGAAGTAAATAATCTATTAGGTGATTATAGAATAAGGACCAATAAAAGACTTTTAATGTTTTTTATTATTTTATGTCTATGAGTGTTTAGACTGAATAACTCTATACCTGGTGCCTGGTGAGGTCAGAATAGGGTGTCAGACCTTTTGACACTGGAATCATAAATGTCTGTAAGCCACCATGTGAGTGTTGGGCATTAACCTAGGTCCACTGGAAGATCCCCAAGTATTCCTTAACCACTCTAAGACTCTAGACATTGACACGGGATCTTTTGAAAAAGCAGTGTACTCCCAAAACTGCTGAGTCAATTCCCCAGTCAATAAACTGTATTTAAAAACAAAATTATCAACTTTTATACACGTGCAAAGCTACTGCCTCTGGCTTTTGGTACTCTTTTTTTTTTTTCATTTATACACAAAAGAATACACAATAATAATAAAAAGTTTTCTTTCTTGTAGTTTTAAAAAACGGTCCTTAGCATTAGCTGTCACGCCCTCTCTTACCCCCACAATCCCTGCCCCTGACCATTTAATCCTTCCATTTTATCTCCTGCCCCTCTTTCTCTCTAACTACATGTTCTATTTCCTCTTCTTTAGGGGATTCTTCTTTTCCCCTTAGTTTATTATTCTATTCCTAATCCTTGTGGCTATTCCAATAATTAGCACGCCAATAGAAGGCTCAAGAGCTATCATCCACTATAAGAAACTACTCTTATAATTAGAATTATCTGTTAACTGACTCAGGATGATGTTTGGCTAGCTACATGAATTTATCTGCAATTTTCATGATTTCAGGTTTTTTAATAGCATGATATCCCATTGTGTAAATGCACTACATCTTCTTTATCTATTCATCTGTTGGCAGACACTTAGGCTGTTTCCAAGTTCTGGCTGTTATGAATAGAGCAGTAATGGCAAGAGTCTCTATAGTAGAATATGCCTTGGATACATGCCCAGGAGTGAT